TGGCATTATCTTATGATGAAAGGTCAACATCATCGTTAATTTTTTTTTAAAATGAGTGACCAAAACGTAACATTAAATGTGATTTAAAATAATAATAGTTGAATGACCAAAACAGAAACTAAATAATAAGTGATTGATTAAATAAATAATTTACCTTTTTATGCATGGGTTGGACCATGGCCAGGTAGGCGCCTAAACAGTAAATACACCCCTGTCACACAAGGTAAAATTTAAACATTGAGTATCGAGGTTCATAAATTTTCTTTTTCACCATTGGATCAAATTTTCATCCGTGGAAATTAAAAAATATATATTCTAATTGATAACGTGTTATAAAGAATATTAGGATTCTATCACATTCACACCCAGAGTGAAAAAATAATTTTCAATAATAAATGTTTGTTTGTATAAAAAATATTATTATTATAACTTGGTAAATATATAATTTTATATTTTATATTTTATTTTTGCATATTTTTTAAACTGGTTTGATGTCATTACGTTCAATGACATCAAACTCAAGAAATACTTTAAAATATACTTTAAAAGATTTTATTTAGGGAGTTTAAAATAAATAAATGTTGTTATTTTTAAAAAATTTAGGTTAATAGTTGATTTTTTTATTTACAAGGTGTGTGTTTTCAGTGGTGGAGCCACGGCTTATTAAGGGTGGGCACGTGCCCACATTGAAATCTGAATTCTCTTTGATTAGTTACTTATTTTACAAATTGTGTCAACCTTGAAATTTTATTTGTATCAATCTCATTCAAAAATTTTGTGTTGTTAATATATATGTACCCAACCTAAAAAATATTTCTGAATCCGTCATTGCATGTTCTTAACAAACTAAAAAACATTCTAAATATATATTACTTTATAATCACCCATATTATCCCAAATATACATATTAACATATTCTCATGTATTTATTAACCTATATTAACATATTCCAATGTATTTATTATATCTTTTGTTGACAACTGTTTGAAAATGACATAATTAACTAGTCCTAGTTTGAATAATGTATTGCTTTGTTGTCACTATTTGTAATTCTTGTGTCATTCATTTTGGGACAACTTTATAGAGTTGTAGATAAGCAAGAGCATTTATGCAAGAGAAGCTTTGAGAGTAAGCAAAAAAAAAAACTAGAAGATCAACTAAGATGGCGAAAGGAAATTAATTACATAAAAGAAATCAAGCAGGAAATACAATTTAAAGTAGAGAGATCATTTGGATAATTCTACACGCCAATCTCATAACTCTAATAACTTAAGGGTAAATTGCATTTCTTCACACTCGATTTTGACCGATTTCTTGTTTTGGTCACCAAACCATGGACTCGTTGGGATTTGAAGGTAGATGCTCTAACACCGGAAAATAGAAGAGAATCTAAAAAAAATAGGTTAAAAAATTAGAAAGAAAGATTTCAGGGATATTTTCACAAATTTGAAAAGAAGTTTTAGGGCTTTTTCACATTTTTGAAAGATCTATACCATGTCATAATACCATTAATAATTAAACAGAGTGACAAAAAAACAATATAAAAGTTGAGTGATTATTTTTTTAAAAAAATAATTGATGACCAAAACAAAAATATAATAAAAGTTGAATAATTAAATTTATAATTTACCCATAACTTAGATAGTAACGTAGATGAAAAGAAAGCTATTAACACAAGCGACTCAAGGAACACAACATTGAACCCAACTGTGAGCAAACATACATTTAGAACGTAAATAAATTGCACTCAAATTACAACAAAGAATAGTTGACGAGCTTTGGTAGAAGCAGCAAATTCCCGTAACAAGTTTTGGTGAGTAACGATGAATCTAAATTGAAAAAAAATAATATTTAAAATTTTAATTTTACTTTTTAAGATGAATAGTAATTTTTTTTAAATTTTTTTAAATTTTATTCTCTTCTCTTAACATATTAAATTAAAATTTCAAATTAATGGATGTGTAATTACTCCCCTTTGAAGGTCAATGTATTCATCTCTAATTGTGAGCCAACAAGTTTCAGTAACAACCTTATGACGGATCAATAAATAATTTTTAGGGTGAACATACATATGTTAACAACATAAATTCTTTTAAATGAACATCATCAATAAAATATATAATTAATTAACAAAAGTTTAAATTTTAGAAAATGCACGAAAAGTTATGGATGCGCCGCTCAACAGCCCAATATTCGGCTTTCGTGGATGATGTAGCAGCAGACCATTGCTTGTGAGAAGACCAGAAGAGTAGCTCCTCGCCCCAAGCCTGAGTCCATAAACGGATTTATGGGGTCCAATAGAGCACAAGATCATCGATATCAATACCACTCAGATCACAATATCTGAAACTAATAATATGTACCAACGTGAACATTTACCAGATCAGCATTTTTCCAATCCGAAACATTAAAGTAAGGCATGGATTTTTTTTCTTTCTTTCAAGGAAACTATTCTAATTTCACTGTTTTCGTCATCTTTTAAAATTTTATAAATTCGTCACTCAACATAAAATTCTACATCCTACCGATCATAATCAACTACTCATATCAAAACTAGCTTATCCAAACCGGAAGGAGCCATGTATCTCACATTAGGCGACCGTGACATGAAACATACCGGTGCACATGATCTTCCGTTAGTTTCAGAATATGATGATTTTATGGTACATGTTTTGTGATCTCAATGCTATATCGGATTCGAATGCGAAGACGTAATAACAATGGCACTCGGTCCAACACAACTAGTTATAATTATTCGATTTGATTCAATTCAATTGAATATTCATATCTACGTGTACATCTGTATTGGCCCTTCGTTTCTATGAGATTCAAAATTTTATGCGGAGAGGGAGGCCGCCCGACGAGTGGACTGAATGGCCTGAGGACAAAAATCAGCAGAAAATTCCAAAACAAATCAACTTGGTCTCTAATTTTAATACTAGAAACATATACTTAAAACAATTTGTGGCTGTCCAATTTACTAAGAGCTGATAATGACTGATTAGACCCTTTTGCCTTTGTTTTTTTACCTCTTCCTTGCATCATTGTCATCTACATCTCATCTTGTTTTCTTCCTCCTAATTCTTCTTACAAATTACCCTTGAGAAATTTCTTTTCTTTTTCCTTCATTAAACATTTTATTTTATTGAGAGAAAATTTTAAATTATGTATATTGCCCCAGAACCGACTTGCCCTAATCGTCCGCGTTCTGCCCTTAGCATGAAGAACAGACCAACTCCCCAACAAGCAAGTTGGAGACGAGAAACTGAAAACCACATAAAAACAAAGAAAGTTGTGGTCCTTTTGAAAAGATCTTTTTTTCTGGTTTAAACAAACTTCTTTCTACCCATCTATTTAAATGGTCGGTATTCGTTGTCCTACAATCTATACTTGTCTTTCGAGTTCAATTTTCCAAGTCCAACTCGGTTCGGTTTCCAACCACTGTATTGTAAGAAGATGGTGTAACTATTTAATTTTAGGTCCCAATTCTTGAAGCACCTGTTTACCAAATAATGAAATAATATCCCAAGAAATATCTGCTCTCTGTGGTCTTGTTTTGGTCAAAGTTTTTACAACTCAGTACATCACATTTTTTACACTTGCGGTTATCAAACTATTGTTGTTTTCCTACTTTGGTTATTAAACTATTTGCACTTAGGAAGTTGGTTTTTGAGCCCCACTTACAAGAATGTAACCATATTAAATATATTGGATAACTATTTTGAAGTCATATGTTGACGCCGCAGGCACAGATGCGTACCAATTCTTGATTCTCATATGAAAAGAGGCTCCACAATATCCATAACCAATATATTGAGACATCAGAAAAATGCTCCATGAGATCTTTAGTCTCATCTTATGTCTCAATGTCAATTTGAAATTAGAGAACATAGAACAACTAGTACAGGGGACATGAGACGGCTATGCTCCTCTGCAGCCTAATCTCCCTTAGGAGTTGATAACATGAAGATCGTCAATCTGTCCTAGCGATTGCTATGGTTTATCCACTCATGCTCCCTCGAGTCGACGAGTCGGGGACGAATTCAATGTTGCTCCTTCTCCAGTCAACACTCAAGAGAGAAACCCTATCGTTTAGGTTATCCAAGTGAGAGATTGTTTCAATTGATGTCCTTGTTCGACTTTAGAAACCTTTTCGTTTTATTCTCCTCCTCATCTTTTCTTTTGTTGTTGGTAGATCAATAACTCGTAAAGAGTTTTCTGAATTAACTCCTCGTGTTGTTATATCTCCGAAGAAATAATCATACTTCTGGAGATATGTTTCCACCAATTATGCCTCTAAAGAAATCAACGTACTTTCAAAGATATTTCTTCGTCAGCAACCACGAATAATAATTTGTCCGCGTGTTGAAGTCTTCTCAGAAAAATTTTATGTAGGATAAAGTCCATGTCCATCCATTAACTTTTGACAAGAACTTCAACAAGCTCGAAAAATATCAATATCAATTTATTGTTAGGGGCCAACTTTTCGTATGTCAAGTCAACCTATAAATATCCATATTAACCTCAAGCCTGACATCAATATTCTTAGTATATAAACCACCAATTCAAGACTAAAAAGGGAACAAACCTTTTACATTGTTCATTTTCTCGAATATATCTTGGAAGAGAACCAAAAGATGATTATTATTCGAAAAATCTTCTAAAGATAATTAAATACAATTCCACACTGAAATCAAAGAGATAAATTGGATAAACATTTTATATTGTTAAACATGATTCATATTATAAGATATCAAATACCTTAAATGAAAATTGTAGGGACAATATAGTAATTCCACTTCAACTCGTCCAATCACAAGGAGAAAAAAACAAACCAGACAACTGAAGCTTGATCTAAATCCATAGGCCCTTCTACTCCAAGTTTCAGATGGGGAATCTCTCTCCAAAGTTTTATACTTTTGATTCCCTGTGCTTTTGAAAAGCTTCAAAATTTCTGGTTTCATAGCTTGAAGTTTGGGCATTTCCTTTCTTGGTGATATATGGGTTCCACACTTCACATTACTGTGATTGATTCCCATCAAGTCTTGATCAACAGTGTTAGTTCAGATATGAATGTTTTGGTTCAAAGTGAACAACTTTCTTGTCTCTCAGGTTATGGATCTTTATGGATACCCTCTTCTTCCTCTGCTCTACAGGGTAATTATCTTGTTCCTCTCTCCCTTTCTTTTTCTTTCAATTTTTTTGGTTGATTGTTATAAGTTTAAATTTCAATCATGGGTGTTGTTTGGTTCCTCTGGGCTTGCATTCTTGAGAATTTTCCATAGAAATGGTGACGAATCACCTGGTTTTGTCTGGTTTCTAAGCAAATGATTAGCTATGATGATGTAATGGAGTTGAAATTACTCAGAGATGCCATGTTCCAACCGGTTGACGAAGACAATGGAGATGATGATTTCGATGGATCGTATCACCGCCGGGGAAGAAAAGGCGGTTAACAGCCACACAAGTTGAGTTTCCGAGAGAAGCTTTGAGGTTGAAAACAAACTCGAACCAGACAGGAAGTTGCAACTTGCAACAGAACTCGGTTTAGAGCCCCGACAAGTTGCAATCTGGTTTCAAAACCGTCGTGCTCGGTTTAAGAACAAGCGGCTGCAAAAAGACTACGATTCCATGAAAGCTAGCTACGAGAAGCTCAAGGTGACTATCAGAATCTCCTGAAGGAGAAGGATGTTTGAGAATGAGGTTAGATTAACACAACATTTTTCTATTTCATGTACTATTCAGCTTAACTCAGAGATAGATCGACTGAGTTGTCGACCGAAAATTTTAAATTTTTATATAATTTAATTTTTTTTCTTCTTTAAAATTTTATAAATTCTCTCATAGCATAAAATTTTATAAATTCTCTCATAGCATAAAATTTTGTGTTCCATGGATGAACTGATTGTTCTACTTTCATTCCCAATAGGTAATTGCACTGAAAGAGAAGGTGTGATTCGAGAGAAAGGGATGGAAAATTTGGATCACTCGATGCAATAAATTCACCCAAACACCTCCTGTGTCTAATGTGCCACCGTCGGAAGAAGCATGTTCGGCTAAAGTGATGTTATCGACTCGTATAGCCCTCGTCCACCGATGGGAATCATTCTCGTTGATCAATCCGGTCGGTTCGTTGAATGTTTATGAACCGGATCAGTCCGATATTCCCGAGATGATGAGAATCTAAGCAAAGACCGTGTGCACCTGCATCCACCTATGTTCTTCCCAAATTCGAACTCGAATGTTACTATGATGCCTGCCAATTCATGTAATTTTGAATTGCCGGTGGAAGATCAGTCATTTTGGTCATCACTTTACTAAGTTAAATAACACTTTACTTAATTTGTTAGCACTTCGATGCTTTTGCACTTTTATTACGGTGCTTTCAAATCAGCGATGTCTTCTTTGCTTACTCTGCATATAGTATATAGAGTTCATATAGATAACCTTAAAATATGACAATTTTTTTATCATTCGATCCGAACTATGTTGGTATGCTATTACTCGATTAGAGATTCGAGTTCTAGAGTTTAGGATAACCAAAGTCTCGAAAAGTTTTGAACTTTGAAGAACGCACCAGCAGAGAAAGAAGAAAAATTGTGAAAAAATGATAGTCTATATCTTTTTTGTGCAAAAAAAACCCAGGAATTGCATCAACAACTTCATGAAGCGTGACATCTTGGGGTTGAAATCCTAAACAATGGAAAAGTTTGAAAAATAAGAATAATGGGCAATGAAAGTCAAGGTATGGATCATCTTCTTCCTTAGCTTTCATGAACGGGTGATGACTTCTACATCACTGCTGTTGGTTGGGGCCCGGGGGACGTTGACAGATTCAGTATTTTTCCAGCATATATTATTAGGATTAAAGTATATTAATCCCGTTAATAATAACTTTTAATATAAAAATAATGTTTAGATATATTTTTTTTTCATTATATGTCTCCGTTACATACAACTTCAAGAATTCAATAGCTTTTCAAGTCGCATTGGTATTGTTCTCCTATTTGAACAAGAGGGAGAGGAAGGGGAGTAATTTAACAAAATATTTTCTAAATATAATTAAATAATTTTAAACTTTTTATAAATAATTTTTTAAAATTCCATAATACGACAAATGTCATTTAATATGATTTTTTAACAAACATCACCGTCGGACACTTAAAATGATAACGTTTGTAACATTAATACTTTGACAGACTAAAAAAAATTTGACACCTAAATAAAAAATTAATTTAGAATTTATTTTTATATTATCTATTAATAACATAATAACTAATATAAACAAGTCACCGTGAACTTGTTTATCGATTAAAAAAAGAGAATCTTGGTGATTCAAGTTGAAGAGATGAGAGGGAAAATCTTTGGTTACCAAGAAATGTACAGAATCGGTGATTAAAAGAAATGGGAAAATTTTCAGGATGATTTGATTGGTGGAATATGCATCATTCCAATTTCCCGAGCATTCGGTGCAGCAGAAGACTGTTGGGATCATCAGAATCTGCTCTCTGATCTCATTGGCTTTGCGGTAGGATCATGTGAAATTTTGCAGGCAGGGGGAAGTTCTAGCAGCTCCCCTGCTTTTCTAATTAACCCATTTTGTAAATACGTTGTTGAAATTATTTAATGGTTCAGTAATCATCTTTCTTTTTAAATATTAGTTTTATATATGTTATTTTCTTTAATTTTTTAACATTATTTGATGACCTCAAAGACTTCATAATGTTCCGGAGGATACTCACATGAAAGTGGACATAAAAAAGAGAATGATTCCGTACAATGGCATACTTGGGACGAAGGTTCACGAGCAAGTTTACCAGAAGTCCGTCCCACAGGACACCGAAGAAATTGGTTTATATATGTTATTTTCTTTAATTTTTTAACATTAGTTTGATGACCTCAAAGACTTCATAATGTTCCGGAGGATACTCCACATGAAAGTGGACATAAAAAAGAGAATGATTCCGTTAACAATGGCATACTTGGGACGAAGGTTCACGAGCAAGTTTACCAGAAGTCCGTCCCACAGGACACCGAAGAAATTGGGACCAGAAGCGCATACCGAGAATAGAAGCTATATGGCCCACTCCATGCTCCTTTCCCGGTAAAGGAACAGCCACAACAGCCATTGAAATTCCTCCACCCGACCAACCTTGTTCTTGAAAATCATGTTCAGAAACCTAGACGCAGACTGGTTTTTCCCAGCAAGGAAAGTTGAAAATCTCCTCGGGTATAGTATAATTAAGGGTACGGGAACCTTATTCCTGCAGTCAAATAACAATGCTGGTAAACTTATCACCAACTCACTAGTTTCCCAAGAAAATCATGTATATACAATTAACCAATAAAATTTATATATCATACAATTCTAAGCATAAGCAGTAGACTAAAATTACTGTTATACCCTCGAAGAACTCCGAAAACAACCGGTTCTCAACCCCTTAAGACCTTCTGTTCACTGGAGTTTTCCAGGATTCAGTATCCTCCATACATAAGCCTTCGAGTCAATCACAAAATGAACAAGCTCTTTAGACAAGATTTCTAACATACTCGTATCATCTACTAGGGTAAAATTCAAATTTGACAATCGAATATATCTAGTTAACCTATAAATAATCATAATATCTAAACCATCGACTATTATCGCTTTAAATATATGTCAGTCGTAACTGAGAGGAGGACTCTTCACTTCCTTCTTCTCCGTACTCGTATAAATTTATATGAACATGTTTAGAGTTTCAATTGAGATATTGATTGTATTGAACGAAAATTGTTAATGGTTGTTTTATTATAAAAAAATTTTAATGCTAAAAAGTATTTACTCGTATCTCATTTTTTTTTTTGGTTCAAAGTTTCTGGAAGGCCCAAACACTGCTGAGTAAAAGAATATGCCGCGAAACGACGTAGTCTCAATCGGGTGGATGAATAGAGGATCCGCAGCGGAGGCAACCGTGGCTCTCTGACCGTGGAGACGGCGATGGAAGTTAATCAGAAGAGCAAACAAATCGAACAAAACAACAAGATAATGAAAATCATAGAGAGAAGAAGAAGAACAACAACAGCAACTGTGGAGCTGGGGAGCTGGCACGGATGGTCAGCTGGGCACCGTCAGGCTCCAAGACGAGCACCTCCCACAACTCCTCAACCTCCCTTCTCTTTCTTCCGCCGGGTCCGTCTCTATGCTCGCTTGCGGCGGCGCTCATGTTGTTGCCTTGACCTCTGGTACCCTTCTTACAACCTTCTCCTTCGCTTTCCTTTTTTTTCCTCAGTCGAATTCTCAGGGAATCAATTATGTGGTTTGACACACAACTTTGTTTAATAAACCCTGTAGGAGGGAAAGTGCTAACGTGGGGAAGGAATAACTCTGGTCAGTTAGGCCATGGAGACATTGTTAATAGTTTGTTAACTCCAAAGCCTGTAATGTCTTTGGAGAGTTACTTCATTACTCAAGTTTCAGCTGGATGGAGCCACTCTGGGTTTGTTTCAGGTTTGTGTTACACACAAAATATATAATTCGTTTTAATTTCCATTTTAATTTGAACAGTTAATTATAAAGTTCCTCAATTAACTTCATACAACAGATTCTGACTAAGAATATTGGAGGTTGTGTTTCATATGGCAACATTTATGTAGTTGAGTACTGAACTAGTTTTCTAATTGGTTTTCAGATGAAGGGTGTGTTTTTACTTGTGGGGATGGTTCATTGGCCAGCTCGGCCATGGTGATTACAAGTCACATTGCTCTCCTGTTAAAGTATCATTTTTTGTTAATAAGAATGTTGAACAGATTGCTTGTGGCATGCGCCATTCACTTGTTCTATCGAAAGGTAAATATGACGACAATTTAGTTGCACTGTTAGTAGTTTTCAAAAGCTCCATATAAGATTTATGTTTGTCTCGATCTTTTGTGCATGTGTTTTGGAGTCTGTCTTATGTACGTTCACTTAATCTGCTGAACACTCCACAGTAGGACTAAGTGCCAAAAGATGAACAATGGAGCTGTGTTTTTTCGTAACTCTTTTTTTTTTTTTTTGCAAATGATGATTGAATGCTTTGAGCTCAACATTTTTGCAAATGATGATTATAATGAAGCTCTGTTGGATACTTTCCTGTGATCATTGGGATGAATTGGAATTGTGATCTACACATTTAACAGGGATCACATGAGTAAAAGTATAGTTTTTTCTATCCTGGGTGCTTGGTGAGTATGAAAGAAGACAGTAGCCTATGAAGCTTCAGCTTAGTCTTCTTATTTTCTTTAATCTCCAATAGCCAAGTTTCGTGTCTGCAGATAGTTCAGGAAATCTAATTTATGGATTTGGATCTGCAAAGCGTGGTCAATTGGCTATTTCAATAGATAGAATCAAGTCAGTCAATACTCCAGAGATTACCCGTGGATTTGATGCTCTTGAAATCATTACCATCGCTGCAAATGGAGACCACAGTGCAGCATTATCTGGTGATTACATCCAAATTAGCTGAATATTTGTAGCATAAATCATTCTGGATCATAAATACTACCCTGTTACTAGGCATGCCAAACCCCATGAGCGGTGAATAAAGAAAATTTAGCTTCATTCACAAGCTGCTAGTTTAATTTATCCACCAAGTAATTCTTCTTATCATTGTTGTTTCGTATCTGTTACACCAGCTGATGGAGAATTGTACACCTGGGGAAGAGGGTTCAGTGCCTCATCTGATTTTATCTGTCCTCAACATTTACCTTCATCATCAAAGTTTTCTGAAGTTGCACTTGGTTGGAATCATGCTCTGGTTTTATCTGGTACACATGCACACGTGTTATTCCATCATATACTTGGAGTTTGTTTGCATTTTTACTTGGTCTATTTGCCATTAACCCAATATTATCTTCTCCCTAGAATTCTCCTGGCAAGATACAGTAAACCACATGTTTATGTCTTCATTTTTGATTTGAACAGATAATGGAGAAGTTTTTATGCTTGGTGGTGACCATCATGGAAAGCTAAGCATCCTGAGATACAACCCTCGCAAAGCATTTATCAGGTAATCCTTTCGGAAAACTAAGACAAGAACTTCGATGACTATAGTGCAATAGAAGAATAAGGATTGATGCTTATACACACACTCACATTAGAGATGTTTGGTTTGTTAACTATCAGAATTGGAAGGGAATTGTACCAAAAGGGAAGCAAAAACATTATATCTATATATACATCAATCCTAAAGTAGTCATTCATGTTTCGGCTAATATAGGAGAAGCAGCTGTTTGGAGAGAGTCCCAGGTCTTGACGGGGTGAAAGTTGTTGAAATTGCAGCTGGAGCTGAGCACTCTGCTGTTGTAACAGGCAAAGTCACATTGATCTTTCACTGTCGTGTGCCTAATCATCATATGTTTACTGAATTCTCTTTCGAATTTGGCAGAGGAAGGAGCCATTAAGACATGGGGTTGGGGTGAACACGGGCAGCTTGGTCTTGGGAGTACAAGTGATGAGAGCAGCCCTCGAACAGTTAGTTTAGGCGATGAAGTCGTTCACAAAGATGGTACGGTCAGAGTTTACTGTGGGAGTGGATTTACATATGCCATTAGGTCACTCTGTTCTCCTCCTTAACTCTGTGATAATACATTCTGGTTAGCCTCAAAGAACCATTATGCCGCTACGTATATCAACGGAAGCATTCCTAAGAAACTTAATGATGTATTACGTCTTATATTTATTTTGTTTAAAGAATTTTGAACCTTACCAATAACCTTGATTCAAACAGTATTATCCGAAAGGTATGCATAAATTTTATCTAAATTAAAAGTTGAATATATATTATCACATAATCATGTTAGAATATTTAAAAAATATTTTATATAAATTATTTGTATATGATATTCGAATAGTTTTGTTTTATTATTTTGAAATTTTAAACATTTTAAAAAAAATTATAATTAAATTTAAATGAAAATAATAATTTTATTATTAAAGTATCTATTTATAATATTTAATCAGCTAAAAATTAATATTTTCATGATTTAATTTTTAATAATTTAGTAATAAAAACCAAAACTATATTATAAGATTTTTAAATAAAAACAATAAGTAAATAAAGACTTATCACTTAATATAGAATACATTCAAAATGAATTTCATTTTATATCTTTCAAAATTATATTATCTTTTAATTAATCTACAATTTAATTATGTCTAATGATATACCAAAAATATAATTTAAAATTAATACATAATTTTATAATTATTAAATTTTGTGATATTTTGGTTAGAGTTGAATCGTAGCAATTCAAATTAAGCTTATTGATGGAATAGATAACTCGGCCGCTAGTAGTTTCCCACTCAAATTTTAGCCTCTAACTCAACTAGAATAAATAAACAAAAAAACCCACATCCCTAAACCCTCTCTTCTCCAGCGAGTCATTTATCCCGCCGCCGCCGCCATTTTCATGGTGGCGCTCTCTCCATAATCTGATTACCCACCATTACTGACAACCCCTCAAATGGCAGCCGCTGGGACAACTGTTAGATTAGATAAATTGTAAATCTTCTGCTGTTACCTTCTCTCTGTCGTGGTGTAGTACCTTTGTTGGGCAATGTATTGATGCTTATAGGTTACTGTGATGGTGAGTTAGGAATTGATTGATAATTAGGAGTTGCACTTAATTGAGATGTTTCTTTGTTTTCACTTTGGATTCAGAAATCAGAACATGATGTTTCTGGTAGGATACATGTACTTTTTTCCGGCGTTAATCTACACATTTAAACTTCATTTGGATCTTTTTCCCCTGTTAATTGTATATTCCAATCGTTATTATTTTTTTTGACATTACTTTTTTTATTTGATGTAGGAAGAAGATGCATCAAATGTTCAAGAATTTGAGACTAGTCAACTTAGTGCTGCAGATGAACTTCACAAGGTGCCTTCAGTTAGCCGTAAAGCTATATTTGCCCTGCAGAATGAACCAGAGATAGAAAATGGTACAGAGGATGTTATGGTTCAACAGGAAAATGACAAACCACAGGAAGGTGTGAAGCATAATCTGAGAGATATTGAACCCACTGATCAACAGTATGTCCCTCGAAGAACGTATCAGAACCAAAGAGGTGGTAGGAGTAATGGGGGTGACCGTAGGGGTTATTCCAATGGTCGTGGAGCTCGAGGCAGTGGAAGGGGAGGTGGCGCTTACCATCAGAACGACCGTAGCCAGTATTATGATCAATCCGGCAAATATTTTCCTAGGAACTACTATAGCAACAGGGGAAGAGTTGGCAGGGGAGGTGGCCATGCTTACAACAATCACAGGTCAGCAGTCCATGGTGGTAGTTCTGTCTCGGCTGATATTGGTGTGGCCTCGTAACAGCTCTGCTCGGTGTCACTAGGGCGATGAAAATGTTTTTTTTTTGTTTTTTGCTTTGCATGGAAAACATTGTTTGACCGTAGGTTGATCATTGATGTTGATATGGTACAAATCCAGGGCACCCCATTTAAAATTTTCGTTGCACCCTTAAGTACTGATATTCTTTTAGGTTTAACATTTCTGTTCTTGCGGCCATACATTTAAACAGAAAAACTAGAGCAACCTCAAAGTCTCGTGTGGTAATGGAACTAAAACAACATGAATATCCATATTGTTGGGAGGAAGCTGCAAACGTCGAGGAAAAGCTTCCCGTTCAACGGACTCCGACCACACACCACGGCATCTTTGGGCCCCGCCTCTTGTTTCAATTTCTGAGTTAGTTCATCTACGGTGTCACCCCTAAAACTAAAACAGTAACCTTTCAATGCCTTGTCGTCAAACTCGCCGCTATCATCTGCTACATGGTAGCAAATAGTCCTACCTTTGGATTTTGGTGGTGAGTCCAAATAACAATCAATCGACTGCAAACATAACAAAGATGAGAACATAAGAATCTAATAAGAGAAATAAGAAGATTTCAAGAAACCATACCTCTTCGCTCGAAAAGTGTGCAGAATTGGTTGAAACCGAAGAAGGTGAAGTAGATTGAAAGTTAAATGAATCTGCACGAGGAATAGCTGGTGGAAATGAGGGCCAATGACCACTCCATGGAGTTTCAAATTGACTCTTCACAATATCCACATGCCACAATACACAATCTTGAGTTCCTTTCCTATGAGGAACGTGGTGCGTTACTGAGTTCTTCCATGGTGGTAACCCTCTGCTTGCTCGCAAAAAGTTACCGCAACGAGTCTTGAGCTTTACGCGAGACCCTTCTCTATTGGGTTCCCACTCGACAGTTGAGTCGGGATTCCTAGTAGGTGTCTGGATCACTTTTCTACCCGTCACGCCTAGTAAAAATGGTTGGTTTGAGGCAGTAAGGTACTTGTTGTAGGAGCTTTTTAGGCGGATGATGTGTGTTCCAGGCACGAACTCGACGGTCCACTGAGTATTTTGGGAGGATCCGTTTTGGATTTGAGAAACGGATTCTTCGTCTTCCTTGGCAAAGAGATACTTGTCATGGTGGCTACGGAGATGCACGACTTTGACATCAAGGAACAAATCCATTCCTGTCCCATGCTTGTTAGAGTTTACCTGCTGAAAGAAAATGCAAAATATTTTAAGGGCAACCCTGTTTTTTTTTGTTATCCGAGTTATCTAATTAAGGAGAAAAAGGTGTTAAACCGTAGTACCCATTCGGCAGACAATTTGGGCGACCCTGTTGGAACCACTGTAAACCTTGGGGACTTCAACTATGACACGGCTGAAACTGGTAACAGAGGGCTTGATAGTAAACTATCATCGCTCGAAGCCTCCAAAACTTCATCAGAGACCGACGAAAAGCTCGAAACTGACGACAAATACTCCATAAACACTGAAAAAAAGCTCAAATACTCGGAATACTCTCCCACCTCCACATCCCATAATACCCATTTCTTCATAGCTCCACTTGGAGGTTCGTCATGAGTGACGGAGTTCCGCCATGGCGGCATTCCCCCGTTTGCACGTAACAATCTCCCGCACCAGGTCTTCAGCTTGATTTTCAATCCTTCTCTTATAGGCTTCCACTGGAGTTTCCAATCCGTCTTATCAGGCACCGTTTGCAGCACCATTTTACCAGTCGAGCCTAAAAGAGAGGGTATATCAGAGGCTGAGAGGTACTTTCCATGGCAGCTTTTGAGGTGGATAACGAATGGTTTATCTTGGACAAGCTCGACGAACCATCTAGCTGCTTTCCCCGAGCCATTTCTGCTTTGACGAACCGTTTCTTGATCATCTTCGGCCACGAGGTATTTCCCAAGGTGGCTCCTCAGTTTCAGGACCTTTGCCTTTGTAAAGAGCTCCATGTACGAACAAGACCCAGTTTCAGTGGTTATAATATAGTATATATAATTGACCATGAAAGTACCAAGTGCATGCCGTGAGAGAATAAGAGGAAACAAAGTCAACTCCCACAAGCTCAAATGAGCATGAATTGGAGACGATGATGAGCGATGAGATATTGGAGGAGGCACAGGCACAACAAGAACTTGACTTTTCGCAACACGTATTTTGCAACCAGGTTTTTAATTGTCAACAACATGAATCTTGTCGTTGAATGTTTTAATTTATAATTATTTCACTTGAGTTTAGGCTTCTCGAAGTCTTGATTCATCATCTTCACCAAATCAAACCATTTTACTTCTACAAGTGTTTGCACCTCACAATCTAGAATGGAACATAAAAATAGTTATCATCATTCTAGATCTAACATCAATGCCACTGTATGTAAATCATCATATAAGATTAAAGAAAGAGATTCTCTCTCTAAAACTATCTTACTATTTCTTTCTCTTTAAAATATATATTTATCATTTTTTTTAATTCGTTTAATCATCAATTACAACTGATCACTCAAACAAAAAAAAAGAATAAATCATAAAAATCGTCATAACACTGTTTGTTTCCTCAACAATTTCGAATTTAAACTTTGGTGTAACTTTTGTATTATTATCTACCTAATGAAGTGACAATAGGCATAAGTTATGTAATTTGCACCTGAAGATTTCCACAAAAGGAGATCCAATAAGGAGGGCAACGATTAGAGACAGAGTCATAATTAAATATTGGTATGATCAAAATATTAGATTATTTAAGAAAAATATAAAGACTTATTAGGTATTTAAACTCGAAATTCAACATGAACCAACCGACCTTAGTGATTAAGGGATTGTTGTTATCCTTGAGGTCCCGAGTTCAAGCACGTATGTAGGGGTACGAGCGTTCATTGTCAAATAGTTGAAAGTTTTTTGTACAAATATTATTTTATATTCACTCAAAACTCAAAAGATAACTTCTAATTTGTCTAATATTTAAACTTACAATGACTTATATTATAATTAGACTAAAAATTGTACAAATATTATCTTATATTCACTCAAAACTCAAAAGATAACTTCTAATTTGTCTAATATTTAAACTTACAATGACTTATATTAATTAGACTAAAAATTTGAGAACACTAAAAATTGTACAAATATTATCTTACATTATTTATCATTTTTTAAATTTAAATATTTATATGAACTAAAATATTATTAAACTAAAATTATATCAAATATATAAATTTGACGGGGAGCTCCATCCCTATATGTATCCCCCCAAACGTGATGGAATCAAACACTTGCTAATTTAAGCACCGGAACCAAGTTACTTTTGTAGTCGGCCTAACTAAATTAAACATCAAAATGACAATAAGTTGGGTACAAGCGACAGTCGCACTTTGCTTTTTCCCCCCCTTGGATCCATAGTATATCCTCTTACACGCACCTTATCCTTATGGGAAACGTGTAATTACTAATTCCGGGTTCATTAACCTAGGACCATCCAAGGATAAAAAAATTACCCATAGAAGAAATATTTTGATGAAGAGTAGAGAAAAATTACAATTGAGATTTATATATTTTTTCTTTTAAATAGTTTAAGGCGAATTACAATATAATGTTTATTTATAATTTTTTTAATCAATGATAAAAATATATACTTGCAAACACAACTATTTAAATATGTGCTATTATAGAGAATAATATTTTCTTTAATCATTTATGTCACTGATGGGTTTAAATTTATATTTTTCTTAAATGAGAGTTAAACAACTAATCAAAGGATGCTAATATGGTCCAACGGTGTCAACTCAATCGTTCTAACATATCACATTATATTTTATTACAATAACAACCGTTAACGATTAACTGAATGATTTATTATAAAATAATAATATTAATAATCATTAGGTTATTTTGGAGTTGTGGGGTCGAGTCTCACAGAGGTCATTTCATAATTCGGAGGTCTCCTACGGAAGCTGCTCTCAATCTGGTGTTGGGGGCTTCCTACTATCCCACCTCCCCCTTACTCCCATTACATATGAGAATAAGGGTCAGCTAATTTATTTACTTTTAAAATTTCAAATGTTAAAACATAAACTTATATTTACTTATATAGTCTATCCTTTTAAATTTTCATATATAAATAATGTTTATTATATTAAAATATTAAATTAACACTAGACTCACATACTATATAAATAGTAATTAAGATGATATTTTAATCAATTTTATCTAAAAAAAATTTTTTTTTAAATTTTTTACCAAAATTTATTTAAATTAATACAATATAATATTTATTTAAAAACTGTCCCATTAAATATTTATACATTTCTTCATAGTGCTCGAATTATAAGACTTCAAAAAATTTACAATAACTTCCGCTCTTTATATGTTTTATCTGTGAGAACCTTCCTTTATTCCTTTTACACTCCTATCAATCCAATTCCCACCGCTTTATTTGTAGGACTCTTTTGAACCGTTGATATAAATCAAAGCCGTTGATCGACAGTAAGCAACTGAGGTCGAGTTGCACGTGAGAAAGAGGAGGGGTTTATGAAGCAAGAAGAAAAAGAAATGGAGACAAAACCTCACTGGAATTGATAGTTCGCAATTCCCGAGGTCTCCCCCTCTAATAAAATGAGGGAAGAAACTAGAAAGTGAGGGGATTCGGTCGAAGGAGAGCTGAACACAAAATTCTGAACCAACAAACAATTTCCACTGTCTAAGGGGAGCAACACTCTCACTCACAAAAAACAAACAATAAAAATCCATCCTTTTTCGCTGTCTGTTTCCCTTCATTATAAGAAAAGTGAACCCAGAATACCCCCATACTGGCCTTCTTAACAATCAACAATATTTATATATATTTTCCTTTTACTGGGTTTTTTTTATGTGAAGTTTGAGCTTGGGTTTTTTCTTTTTCTTTTATGGCGATGGATCCACCTGCTATGATGAGAGATGGGAGGTACAATCTGACGGAGATCTGGCAGTATCCAGTTGGTGAATCTGGGATAAGGAAGGGTCAGTTTGGATCCGGTTCAGCTCAGATTGTGGATCCGAATCGGGAGGTTTCGGGTAATGAGCCAGTTAGTTTGGGCGGTAGTGTGAGGAGAAGGCGTGATGGGGAAGACGAGGCAGCTAAGGTTTGTTGTTTCCACTCGTAGTTGGCAATGGCGTGGTATTCTTTTTTCATTTTTCGCTTGTTTTCTCTTTGAAATCAATTGGGTTTTCGTGATCCGAATCGTACTTATTTTGACTGACATTTAGCTTGTTTCTGTAGTTGGCATTTTGTGATTTGCTCTTGCTTAGGGAAAGTTTATGGATTTAATTTGACAAATTTTGTTAATAATTTGGGCAGAACGATGGTGATGGGAAGAGACTTAAAACATCAGTAGGTATAGATGAGAATCAGGATTCTAAAGCCGAGGCAGAACCCAGTTCAGGCAAGCCTGTGGAACAAAAAGCACAATCGCCACCGGAGCCGCCTAAACAAGATTACATTCATGTTCGAGCGAGAAGGGGTCAAGCCACCGATAGTCACAGTCTAGCAGAAAGGGTAATTTGCTTATGCCTAAACAACGTTTACAGTCGTTGTTTAGCTTTGTCATTCGGTTGAAATTCGTAGAATCCGAGTATGTGTCTTTGATATGAATCTCTTTTTGGGGCAGGCAAGGAGAGAAAAGATCAGCGAACGAATGAAAATTCTTCAGGATTTGGTCCCTGGTTGCAACAAGGTATACCATATACCATGGAATTTGTAAACGGTTCCTTGTCTGCAAATTATATGGTATTTTGTTCGATATTTATGTATAAGAAAATCTAGTCTTGGTGTTCTATGACTTGTCTCTGCTTATCAGTAATTGATTACTCATCCCATGCCATTTACGGTGACTTTCTGTTGCTTGTGATACCAAAACCATGTTGTGATTTATTTTTAGCTTTCCTGGAAACCGGCATATTTTTAAGCTGCTTGCTGAGTTATTTTTTTGGACTCAGGTTATTGGCAAAGCGCTTGTCCTTGATGAGATAATTAATTACATTCAATCACTACAGCACCAGGTCGAGGTGTGGATCCTTCTGCTCATGTAACACTATTTATTTTGCAATTTTCATCCGCCACTTATCTCAAATTTGCATTTCTGGAAATTTTCTGGTGTTGCAGTTCCTGTCAATGAAGCTTGAAGCAGTCAATTCGAGAATGGACCATGCCATTGATGTATTTCCTCCTAAAGATGTAAGTATTTATTCTGTCGTTGAACCATTTTATTTAATTAATTCGAGGCAAAAAATTTATCACTATCCTAGCATAGGCACACATGTTTTCTTGGTTGTGTTTTCATTCATCTAATCTTAGATGCTCATGGTTGTATTATACTTGTACTATGTTTGTCTTAGATTCTTGTATAGACGAGGGATAACCTTCTATTTGTAGTCGGTAGCCCAAAAAAGAATGGAAGAACACGTCTTTCCTGAAATTCTTAACAGATTACATGATTTCGTTCTTAAGGATTGATCCTAGAGCTGTCAACGAACTGAGCTCGCATGAACAATCTTTTGTTTCGTGTTTGTTTGTAAATAACTTGTCATTAAACACTGTGTTGTTGATTTACTCCCTTACTATGAATCTACCTCCTCAATAATCTTTCTTCAATGAAGTAATTTTAGGCAATCTCCAAATTCATCGAAGAAATTTCCCGACTTGTTATCTGTTGTAACGTTATATTTTTGGTGTTTCAGTATGGCCATCAACTTTTCGATACCTCTGGTATGGCATTTGGTTCACAATCGACAAGGGAATACAATCTTGACACATCACCAGAGTGGTTGCATATCGGTGGTGCTTTCGAGAGAACAACATAATACAGATAAACCCCTTGTCAAACATAATAAGAGCATTAATTTGCAATGCTTCCTCCTTCAGTCTTAGCTGCAGATGTATACCGCATGTGTTTAGCCAAAGAAACTCGATAATTTCCTTACTC